TCAAGCGTGAAAACGTTTTGCAAGCGTTTAAGACGCATATATGGAAAAGCAAAACGAGCGCGTGCATCAAGGATCTGAACCCTATCACGCCCACAAATCAGCTATCCTACCAGCTGCGCCACCATCGCACGGAACGCATTTGCACGATTCGGTTATTAGTCGGTACATTGTTATAAGGCAAGGAGAGATCGGGTTCGTAACTTTCTTAGAATCGTTTCGCAGATTCGGAACCCGGTTTGAGATCAGCGTTCGAAAGTATCTAAAGCGCTTTTCTTAATTTTTCCTTCTGAAAAGCGCTACTCGTCACTGCTAGTTATCATGTATAACTTGAATGGCCACTCCGACCAAATATCCTTCGTTGGCTTTACAAAATGCATGCACAACGCATCACAAGCACTTGCTATTTTTGTGTTAACTTAAACTATTTCTCCCCAGGAAACCATTAAATGCAGACATATCCCTTTGTTTCACCCTCTTGCACACTACGAACAAGGTCCTTCAACTCCTACCACTGAGAAAAACTCACTTTTTGCAAAAACTTTCTCATCAAGCTCTTCCCAATTTAAGCTTTTCTTCATTTTCCTTCTGCAACCGCTACTCATCCCTGCGATTTCCCGCGGATGATTTATTACCAGACCAGTCGGGCCGCCCGGCTAAGGCCGGGCTTCCCTCCTTCTTATGGTAGGGTTGTAGTAATCGGCAAATCGACCCCTCTTCATTTGGGCGCCAAATGATATTTTTCGGAACACATATTCGACAGAGGACTAATAGGGCATGCGAGATGTATTTGAAATGAGCCGATGCTCATGCCTATGATTAGAAGTTTCAATCTGTTGCTGTTCATCTTAAAAATAATAAACCATTGAAGGTTCAACTGGTAGGCAAGCAAAATGGAATGGTACTTACGAATGTTGTCGAGGCGTACCATTATTAGATGTCTTCATCAATAAAGCTTCCTTTCTCCAAAAATATGCCATTGAATGAGAATCCAAGATTATGAGCAGTCTGATAGGTTTTGCCAAGAATGATATCGAAGCGGACAGAAACAAAGATTTCTTATTGAGTCGCAATTTTTGCTGGGTAGCGGTCGCCGATAGCAAGAAATGAACCAATTTTCATACCCTCAAAAATTAGTACTCTCAGTCGGTCCCTATCACTGCACTTACTCTTCTTGTCGAATGGAACCTATCAAAGAGTCAAAGCTAGGTCCTAAATAACAAAGGTGTTGGATCTGATTGGTGAGTGGATCTTATTTTCTGAGGCCTCTTCCATCGTCAATATTCCCATCCTGCCTCCTCTACTCCTATTAAGGCCTCTTCTATCGTCAATATTCCCATCCTGCCTCCTCTACTCCTATGAGAAATCCCGCCCCTTAGTGGGTGGGGTCTAGTCATGCAACCCCCCATAAGTGTTCCCATCCTGCCGTTGTAACCCTACCGAGCTGAAAAGCTCTAGAGTGAAAAGGACAATTCCCACGAAAACTCCATCCCCTTAAAGCGAGGTCTGGCCGTCCCACCCACTATAATAGTTGCCATCCTGCCGCCTGGATTCCTTCTTAACTTGAACTCTTCAAGTCTACGGGAACCTGAGTTATGATTTCCCCCCAAACATTTTGTCGCAAAAACCCCGCTCTTAGTGAGAGGGGTCCGGTCCTTCCACCCACCGTAAGTGTTTCCATCTTGTCCCCAGTACTCCTACCAAATTTGAAAGTTCTAGGTCAACGGGGCAGGAGTTATGAATTTCCTGTCTCGGACAGACACACAAACACACACGCACACACAAACACACAGACATTAGCGAGTTATATGCATATAGTAGGATGTTGGACTGAAAAAGGTACCAGCTAGCAAGTACATCTGTAATTTTTATTAATATCCAGACCATTCCACAGACAAATTGACAGTCAGTCCTAGACCTGGGCACTAACGTTTTGAAGGCATACTGCTCTTCCTTTGAATACATCTCCTTACTTTTGAATATGCTCAGTTTAGCCTGAACATTTTATCTCTATGACTTTTCTTCAGTTTTTATGTCCTTCATAAAGATGAACTTTTTCGTCAAACGCGTAAAGGTGGTCTGAAGTGACCATATTCTTCACAACTTGTTCATTATAAGAAGCACGACCACTTACCTGTGTTTCTCGTAAAATCGATGCCAGAAGAATATATGCATTGGGTTGATGCGTAACTATTGCGGATTTATTTATTTCTTTTTTCTCTCGATAAATTTGAATTCTGATTTCGGGACTTTCACGGGAATAATCTTCTCGCTTCCTTCGACAGGAATACGTCTAGGAAAGCATCCTCATGTCCGCCACATTATGCTCTGTTTTTCGGGGAAATTGAAAGGTAGCATAGTCATTTCGCGATCTCAACAAGTTTTTCTACGGTGGACCAAATAGTTAAAGACATTAAAGAACGGGATCTGCTCAAATCCGCCATATTCACCAACAGAACTTTCTATGATCACCTCAAACGTTTGTTAGAAATTCGCCGGCAAACAGCATTACGACGAAATTGGTGACTTGATGGGCGATGTCAAAGCGTGGATCGCCTCTTGAATCAAAAGTCTTCCACCCCTGGATTCCACGGGCTGCCCACAAATGAGAAGCGATTTTTGACTAGTAGGTGGTAGCTACGCTCCGGAGTAATCATTCGACATGTCCTTGCTCACTATTTTTTATTGTTTTGTTGAAGAAGCTTTTTTGAGAAAAAAATCTGTAGTAATTATGTATCGACCCAATATATTGCTCCAAACAATACATTCCAGCAAGGCATGCAAACGCATATCAAGGGCACCTTTTTTCGATACGAAGCATGTTCCGGAAAGATAACTCGGAAAGATGAGTGCCCCATTTCGTTGAAGAATTTTCCCCATCCATGAATTCTCTTTGATTGCTCAATGCGGCGAGACAACAGGCCTGCACTCTGTCGTTCTTATATTGACGAATCTGTAAATCTGTTCAGGGACGAAGTGAAAAATTTTGTAGGTCAGTCTCGAATTATGAAGCACTTTGTATTCATTGCTATTAAAAGAAACTGAGAGTAGGACACATGCATTGTATGGTGATATCCATTCCAACAGAATTAAATTTCGCTGATTTTGTGGGGCCTCTATACCTAATAGCGATTCCTTAGGATTGTCGGCTGTCAATCTCTTCGTAGTTTGCAACTGTAATGACCCTAACGGGAGCCTATGCTGGAAATGAAAAAAAGATAGACAAAAACTTCGAACTACTACGCGCCTTCAAGTTCTATTGGTATAGAATGGATCCCTCCAACGGAAAATGGTCCATACTTGGCAGCCCAAGGGTCAAATTTTAAAGTGCTAGAAATTTTTACAGGAGAATACACAAGAAATAAGACACCATAGTGACCTCAGCGATTCATTCGTACATCCCACATTCCCTCGAAAGACGGCGTGGCGAAGACTCTCGAGCTAATACGCCAGCGTGGTATCGTGCGGGCTGCAGGCCAAACCAGCTAACGTCCGAACTTGCAAAGTTATGCAGGGAAGCGATAAAGGAAGATCTAAAAATGAAAAGAGCAGCAGTTTGGACTGAAGCAGCCGAGGCTGGGAAGAGCATTTGCCGGAGCTTCGTTAGTTATAAGACTAAAATGAATTCCCTTCGTCTTGACGGAACAGTTACTGCATCTCGAAGGGTAATCAAGAAGGTTGCTACGACTTCCACTCTGATATTTTCGACAGCCACTTCCATCTGCCTACTACCATCTTACGCAATATATTTCGTCAACCTAAGTTCTCCCTTCCGAAATTCAACGTACCTTCATAACGATTAGGAACTGTACGGCGCTCGGTCCCGATGCTATTAAATCAAACATCTAAAGAACTTCCCCCAGTCATTGTCAAAGCTTTGGCACACCTCTTCACGCGGTATCTAGCGGAATGCAAAACGCCCATTCCGTGAAAACTAGCAAGACTGTGCAATATCGCTCCAACTTTTCAGTACCGCTTTCGAGAACATGATACGTCATATGGAGTGGGAAGTTATGGGAGCGGAGGTTGATGATCGCTATTTTCAACAACTCCGCTTTGCAGACGACTTCGTTCTCATAACACCGAACGTCGAGCAAGCGGAATAAAGCTGGACGAATTCACAAGGCTGGAAAGGTCGGATTACGGCTGTACTCAGCGAATGTTTCTGTGAAACGGATTGGTGCCCGATGCTCTTTTAAAGCTGAATGGAACGTTGATCTCTGAAAGCTCTAGCTATGTATATCTAGGTCGGGAAGTGAACATCGTGAACGACCTACCGCTGAAGCTGAGCAGAAGGAAACGTGCCGCGTAGAGGGTATTTGAGAACATTGAGGGAGTATTGAAGGCGACAAAGAACATTAGGCTCCGCGCTAAGCTTTTCGACACTGCGGTCTTCCTGCTTTGACGTACACCTCGGAGACATGGACGCCACAAAAACAGGTTCAGCATGCGGCCAGCGTCATTCAATGCGCTGTGGAAAGGGCGATGCTCGAAATTACCCTACACGCAAGTGCTGGAGGGAATCCGGAGTTCCGAGCTTCGTCAACGAACGAAGATCAGGAATGACGTTGATCACACCAAGGAATCGAAGATCAGGTGAGCCGTACACGTTGTGCGATATCGTGATGACCGTTGGACCAGGGCGAGCACTGACTGAATCCCTCAGGACGTCAAACGAATACCAGTTTGGCACCAGCGTGATGGCCAGACTTCCTCACAAAAATCCTGAATGAAATGAGTGTTCCCATGTGTCCCTCAGCGAGTACAATTCATCGGACTATTCTGGCTCGCGGGGGGACGAATGGACACTTTACTGGCGATCGCTCGAGGAAATCGGTGATCAACAGGATGATAGGTGATACAATCGGTGATCAACGGGATGATAGGTGATACATGTGATGCATAAACGTTATACGTCTAACATTATACTCTCACATACTCTCACATTTTCTTTTATTTCCACCCTGTCGTTAATAATCTAAGTTACTTTATCCATCTTTTCCTTAAGTTTGCACGCTAGGGTAGTACGGAATATAGCCCACCTTAAGTCCTCCTGTAATTTGGTTCAGCGATGAGACAGCGTCCAGAACCGATTGCTCTTCGTCATCATGGTCCCTGTAATCGGAATGTTTGGAGGGCTATTGCTACCCTGTTATGACATTGTACTCACTTCAATTTGTGATCGGATTGGATAAAAAGTTCAGCCATTCAGAGGGGAAAATTGCTGTGAATTTTTTTAAAAATCTGGTTAAGCTCTGCTCTTAAAGGTGCTTGGTTTTCAGCTAGCGAGGAGCGAACCACCTTTAAATAGCCAACTTACAAGGAAAGGACGTTAGGTTGGCTGTTAAGGATGAGATGTGTACCGCCGTGTTTTCGGACACCGATTCCAAACTTACCTCCCAATTCTGAGGAACGATTCTAAGAACAAAGCGGAGTCGTTTTCTCGCTTCTTGTAGCACTGTCGCACCAATAACCGAGAGGGCCCGAATTGTGAAACGGTAGAGCTAGTAGCGCGACGGAATTGTGAGCGAAACATGGAGGTTGGGTCCTCAATGAATGCCCTCAGTTTGCTTTTCAACTCAACGTTTCCCTAACCCTTGCAATATGCTTTCACGCTTCATATTGACTATTTACTACAAGCGAAATCTCGATTGACTCTCAAAGCTTCGGACAGAGATGACACAACATTCATTGAACCAAAACGCTCTTTAATATATTACCGATGATATTTTCTACCTGAAGTTGGCGAATCGTACTTGTTAGAGAGCTTGCTGCTGTTCCTGCAACATTACATGGGCACAAACCAGACAGGAACGAAATGTAGTAAAGGGTGAAAATGTAGTTGGGGGAAGAGGGGAGGGGGGTGGGGGTCACAATGTTAGCATAACAACGGATGAACTCAAATGAACTCGATGAAACGTATTATGCCATGTTATGTCAGGGACATGCCAATTTTTAAATAAACTCTAAGAGAGAAGGAGCACCGCGGTAGGCAATTTTTCTTCCTTTTCGCACGAGGTAATCACTTCATCAATGCAGGTGTTCCTTGGGCCTAGTTTAAAAACTACATTTTCTTGGCTGAAACCGCATAAAAGAGCACAGATGGTCGGTGCCCATTGTCCTCTTCGCCTCTCACACAGTGCTAATACAACAACAAGGATAAACACGTTAGGCTTAGTTTCTTTCTTGATATACTAACCTTGGGGTGGGTGCCCTCCCCCCTCAGTCAACTACATCTTTACCGTAATAGAGAGTCTGCCGTCCATATCCTTGATGCTCTGTTATCACTGATCCCATAAACCTGATGCTCTGCCTTGAGTCTTGTTATCGCCTATCAGAGGGAAGAGTACTTAGAAACCGATCACAGTGTTCCTCTCTGACCACCTGATGAGCAGTGACGACGGCGCACTCGTTCGTACTTTAGTTTCATCACGACCAAATATCGCCTTTGGGAACTGAGCAAATTTGAGAGACCGTATGCTTTTGAATTCGTTTATTTTTGGCCATCTATGATGTCTCATATGGTTGTAACAATGAACTGGAAAACGAGTCGATCGACTTGCCGGGCTTTGCAGATAAGCTGAGAAATTGAAAGAAGAAGCTATCGCAAAACGAAAAGTCTCACTTCACAAAAGCGATATACACAACATGGTGCTGAAAGTCAACAAGAAAGACTTCCCAAAAGGTAACTTCGGGACAAGCTGAGTTGGAGTATCGCGTCCTACCAAGGATACCTCGGCAAAGCGTTCTCCGACATTTACTGAGTTATCGTTTATGTCGTGAACTGCTCTCCTATTGCTCCAACAGTATTTTTTCATGATAACTTATTTTTACGTGCGTCAGAACATTTACGGCCTCGAAAATGAGGACAGTATTTCCTTCAAAATGCCCTTTGGTCGAACATGTTGTATGAGTCATTTCGGCGAAACGATCCAGTCGAAAGTGCATAGAGCTGCCAAGAATTTCATAACTCTAAGGTGCAGGGGTCGGGGCAGAGGTGGAGCTCTATTCGGAAGATGGAGGCCAGGAAAGCTCATATAATACCAACAGAGGTCCACAAATGTAAATTGGCGCTGTGAATAGTCGCTATGAAGCGTAAAAGCATTTTCAAGCGTTTAGGAACGTTTTATGAGAGGTAACCCTTCTCCTGTACCAAAACCCCCAATCTCCATTTCACTACCACGATCCCGATTACCTACCAACTGCGAGGGGAATTCTCAGCTAGTGTATGTGTTAAACACAGTGGTACGTAGGGAAAACGGCTCTGTCGCTTTGTTCCCGAAATCGTTAAGCACATTTGAAAAGTGGATTTGAGATCAGCGTTCAAAAGTATGTCTCATTTTAATGCAACTGCGTCCTAGTGACCTTCCTTTGTTGGCAAAAAAACTAAAAATACGAAATAACCTGAATATCTAATTCTGTTCAGTTATCTTCGAGAAACTGTTGTTGTGGTTGAGCAAATCAGAAAATTGGAATCATGTACATGGTTACCGGCTCACCAAATATCCATATGAAATCGATCGGTTTGTACGTCATCGACGATAAATTGAAATCTCTCATTCCACTGCGGATTCAACGTTTTCCTTTGAACAGAACTCGCCTTAATAAGCTTTGCCGGAATAGTACCGCCGTCAGATCCTTGAAATCTTACGATTACTGGTTGCAAATTGATGTACTGCAAAGACACCAAGCAGAAACTTATCTTTGAGCCTTTTTTCCCAACCTTACGTCGAAATGAGCCACCGAATCTGTGTAAGACACTGTCCCGTTTCAACTACAAATAGGCTCTATAGAAGTATCCGTGAAGAAGTCCTTTTGACCACCGCTACTCCATCTCATTGTTTCATGGCTAGTTTTAAAGCAGTGAAACTTGCCTGACTTCGTAGTGATTTGGCAACATCTTCCTCGTTAGATTCGATCACTTCGATCACTTGTCGCTTTCCTGGAACCACTCCCATCATTGCGAAGGGATCGCTGAATCCTGAAAATACAAATCATTCACAAAGTTGGCGACATGCATGAAGTGGTGAGGCGTTCTGACAATATCAGCATTGAACCTTTAAGCTGTAAGCTTTTCTTGTCATAAGTTATTTTGCTGGTATTGGCTGACCGAATAACCGCCTTGTAGGTGTGATAAGCTATGGCATAAAAGCCATTAAGGAGGCTATGGCAAGCGAGTACACGGTGGTGGAAGAGATATAGCATGGCGCCTATATAGCATAAGCACGGGTTCGAGTTGCGTCCGAGGCAGAATTTTTGTCCATAGCTCGCCAACCTTGCGAGACTTTCGGACGGTGTACCGCGGCGAAATATGAGCAGCTAACAAAACACTAAGTCAAAAAAAATCAGTCAGCCAAGCCATTCACAAGATGAAAATGCAGTCATATATTACAGTTCATACTGTTTTGTATATACTGTTCATATTGTTATACCTCGTACATGGGTTCTACCTTGCCGTGGTGTACGAGCTTGAGGCGGGGTCGGAATATTCGACAGAATAGGGTTACGCCGGAACCCCATACCGATTCCCGTGACTAAAGAACCCAAGTGCCCAGGCTCATGGTGGGACGGCGCTCTCCTTGAGCAACAGGAACGCCCTAGTAAGGCTATCCTGTGGACATGGGACGAAAATTTACTACGACCACTTCTTATCCTCGCCTTAGTCCCCTGCAGGCTGTCCCTGCCCAGTCAGGTAGCGCTGGATCAGCAAACAGCCAAAGGGAAGAAATCTCAGGGCCATAGGCTACCAAAGGAGACGGACAAGAGTGAGCCAGCTGATAGCTTGCACTTATAACTGTCGAGGCATAAGCTCGGCCGCTCAGCTTTCGGCACTCATCGATGAAGCTGGACGGATTAAGTACCATGTAATCGGCTTGAGCGAAACGAAGCGCAAGGAACCTCTCTCATGCACCTGGACCGACGGAACTTCAGTGTTCTTAGGAGCTCGAAAAACAAATTCAACGTCAGGAGGTGTTGGTTTTCTTGTGTCTCCGAACTTCTCCAAGCACGTGAAGAGCGTAACGTTCCATGGGCACCGACTAGCCATACTAACCGCGCACCTTTCGAGAGATTCG